TCTGTGTTTGTAGACCATTTTTCTGAATCATTTGAACTTCATTTTTAGATTCTGTAACAAGATGTGGCTGTGAGTCACTTGAGTTGGGATAGTATACCTGAAATCAGCTGCATCTCCCTCATCCTCACTTGAGGATTCTTTGTGTAAAGGGAGTCAGAGTGCAGAGAACAGCCCTCAATTGCAGATTTCTCTGGTCAACGTGTTTATTCAATTCAAATCATTTTATTTTGTTCAGCTTTGCAATCTGTAAACATGCAACATCCTGTCCTAAAACCCCCAAAATGTAAAAAACCTTCAACCGGGAGAAACCTGAGGAGAAAACAGCAAGGCCGAAGGTGTGTAGAGTATGAACAATTTAAAGATGTACAGTACATCCAATTCCTACGACAGAAATGATTCTAATATTGTGGATTACTAAGCCAGGGGTAAGGCAGGACCAGTGCAGGGACAACCATCATCAGACGTAACCTCCATCAGATGCAACCACCACCCGCAGAAACCTGTGAGGAGGGAAAGCACAAAGGCAAAGTTGGTCATTTGGGTTTATGATGACAGTAATAAACTAGTAATAATAACAGCAGCAGGTGTGTTAGAATCCTAATTTATAGATTGTTCACTTATTACATTATCAACAAGATAACAATTCATCTGCAACTTATGGTATTTCTGGAGTAACATTTCCAGGTATATTACACAGTATCATGCTTTAATGCAGCAGTAACTTACAATGTGTTGTCCCTCTTGTTTACAGACCACAACTTGTTGAATTCAGCCCTTCACCCTTGCAATCTGTATTTAGCCCCCATTGCTTTAAAAACGTATTTTCAATGTGAAATGCAATACCATTTATGGGTACAGCAACAACCTAACGCATTAGTAACACCAAACACACGAAAAATATTCTGGGATGTTTACTTTTGGTCCAGGTCATCATGCTGCACGCTAGCATGCTAACTAGCAAACTACCTGCGCTAACGCTAACTAGCTTAACAAAAAGGACCGTCTTTCCCGTATCGAGTCGGCAGCACAAGTAAAACACCCGGTTATAGTTCCAGGTGTGCTTCATCCAAACACTCGCGTACTTACAGAGTAGTGGAGCCGGTAGTCGTGGTTCTATCAGCCCGTTCATGTCGCTCTGCTGCCGTAACTTCGCCTCGTCCGCTCGGAGCTCTGCAGGCGTCTAAGAACTCGCGCATGCGCGTTACAGATGTGAGCGGAGTTACGTGTTTACAAGTAATGTTTGAACCTGCCCGCATTATTATGTCTTAAACGCATCTTATTAACAGCACGCAGTCCGTAGTTTCATATTTATAACGTTTTAAGTGAAATATTAAATACGTTGAAATTACGTCTTCGCGTAGACCAAATTTCGCCGACCAGTTCCTTAATTATTATGAAAATCTTAACGTTAATATCGTCTATCTTTCAACCTTACGTTACATCATGACACATTTGTCAACAAATTGATGTTTTCTGGCACGTTGATGTTTTATCCCATTTTTAGCCGGTTGAAAAGACGTTGAAATGAGGTCTTAGACGTTCAGACCTCATTTCAACCCGATTTCAACCATATTTCAACGTTGAAATTACGTCTTGTGCTCACTGGGATATGTCATGATTTTGGTGGTTCTAGAGTCCATAACAGTGGAGTTATTGAACATTATTTGCCATAAACATTGAAAAATATTCATAATAAATACTCAAAAGACATTTCTAAACAAAGTAAAGGTGTATGGCAATGGGTACACGATCATAGACATATGCTATGTTTTTGGTGGTTCTAGAGTCAATAACAGTAGTTATTGAACATTACTTTCTATTCATACAAAATACTCAGAAGCAATTTTAACAAAGTAGAAGGTGTAGTGCAATGGGTACACGCCCATGGACATATGACATGATTTTGGGGATGCTAAGATCCATAAAAGTGGAGTAATTGATTATTATTTGCTATAAATATGGAATATTATTAATAATAACTTCTGAAAAGCATTTCACAACAGGTACAATGCCATGGACCTATGACATGATTAGGGGGATGCTACCATTCATTATAGTGATTTTGATTTTATTTTATGTGTTTTTCCGCATTGCCCTTTGCAGACGGTCCCTGCGCACTCGTCTCACGCGGCGCTCTCGTTTCACGGGCGGCCACTCATTAAGATCAATGTGATTTGTGCAGCTCCTGCACTGGTCCGTATTGGTAAAATTGTGTATGATGATGGTTGTAACTGGTTGTCAACATCACTACAGTTACAGAGAGGTGTCGTTTGTGTTTCAACAATGTTTCGCTATTGAACCGTGAAGTAGGAATCTGTGAATATCTTGCTAACTTTACCGAACTCTTTCTGATAAGATCTTTGGTTTGACGGATTTTGGAAAGCTTTGAACTAGTAGTTGATCATTTGATCAGGTGTCAGTGGTTTGCAACCAAAGAGAGAAGCTATGCAGACGGCGTGCAGGACCCGACGGTGCTGTCCATGGTGCTGAAGGGTTGCTGAGTGTATTGCTTGATATAGCTACACATGTTGTTTCCTCTCTTGTTAGCGTCCTCGCTACGACTAGTCGGAGAGGAACCTATTGTACCATGGGGATGGGTACTATCAGTTTGAAGTGAAATAATCATGTAACTATTGATAGTTTACTTTTAATTCTAACCTGAAATTGACCAAATGTAGTCTTGTGATGGAAATTGGCTCATGTATGGTATTTAGAGAGGCTTTCATTTTGAAATAGTACATCAGAATGTCCCGGTTATCACTGAGTGACACGTTGGGGATGTGCACAATCAACCTGAAGTGGAATTATCATGTAACTATTGATCTCTTCCTTTTTAAATACCATCTGAAATTGATTAGAAGGATGGTGAAAGAGATTTAAGAGAAGGTTTGCCAATGTATGATATTTCGCGTCACTCCATGCGGTTAACAACGACTGTCTCTCTGTCCGACGGCTGCAGGAGTTCTTGGCTGCGTTTATAGCCGTCCGGCCGGTGCCCCGTCGTGCAGAGTATCGAGGACCCGTCCAACCCTGCTCGCAGCTTTAATTTTCTTTTGTGTCCGGCTCTGACTGCTGTGTTGGATCACCACCCTATTTAGGCAAAAGTAACACAGCAATGATGACAAGCTTTAATGCCATAGACTCTCAAACTCTAGTGGAAACGGTGACAAATTTAAAACCATCCACCTGCTGTCTTGATGCTCTACCTACCAACTTCTTTAAGAATGTTTTTGACTGCCTAGCAACAGACGTATTGCAAATAGTTAATAACTCTATTCAGACAGGCCATTTCCTAAAAGCTTTCAAAACTGCAGTTATTAAACCTCTCCTAAAAAAGCGGAGCCTAGATGCCTCTATTATCAACAACTACAGACCAATTTCAAATCTACCTTTCATAAGTAAAATAATTGAGAAAGTTGTCCTACAACAACTTAATCACTTCCTGGCTTCAACTGGCTGCCACGACAATTTCCAGTCAGGATTTCCACCTCTTCATAGCACCGAGACCGCCCTTATTAAAGTTGTAAATGACATCCGTCTTAAGACAGACTCTGGCAAAACTTCAATATTAATGCTATTAGACCTCAGTGCTGCATTTGATACTGTCGACCACTCAATACTTTTGGACAGGTTGGAAAACTGGGTGGGGCTCTCAGGCACAGTCTTAAGCTGGTTCAGGTCATATCTACAAGACAGGAACTATTTTGTTTCCATGACTTTGTATCAGAAACAACCAACGTCACGTGTGGAGTCCCCCAAGTTTCAATCTTAGGGCCGACTTTATTCAACATCTACATGCTCCCACTAGGACAAATCATGCAAAAAAATAAAATTGACCACCATTGCTACGCTGATGAAACCCAGATCTATGTAGCGCTATCACCAAACGACTATCGCCCCATAGATCTTCTGTGCCAGTGCATTGAGCAAATCAAAGATTGGATGTGTCAAAATTTCCTACAACTAAATGAAGACAAAACTGAGATCATTGTGTTTGGTGCTAAAAAAGAAAGGTTTAATGTAACCCAACACGTTCACACTCTGTCCCTGAAAACATCAAATAAAGCCAGAAATCTGGGGGTTATTATGGATTCAGATTTACACTTGGAGAGTCACATCAAATCAGTAACAAAATCGGCCTACTACCACCTCAAAAATGTAGCACGACTTAGAGGGCTCATGTCAGCTCAAGACTATGAAACACTCGTACATGCCTTTATAACTAGTAGGCTAGACTATTGTAATGGTCTCCTTGCAGGTCTTCCAAAAAAAACTGTCAGGCAGCTCCAGCTTGTTCAGAACGCTGCTGCTAGAGGTCTAACAAAGACCAAAAAATGTCCGCACATTACACCAATTCTTAAATCCTTACATTGGCTCCCAGTATGTCAGAGAATTAATTTCAAAATCCTACTGCTCACATATAAATCACTACATGGTTTAGGGCCAAAGTATATCACTGATATGCTTCCACTACATAAGCCGTCAAGATCACTAAGATCTTCTGACACCAATCTGTTAGTGATTCCCAGAGTAGATACAAATCATGGGAAAGCATCATTTAGTTACTACGCAACAACAACAACAGCTGGAATAAACTTCCTGAAGATTTAAGACTTGCCCCAACTCTGACCACGTTGAAAACAAGACTGAAAACTTTTATGTTCAGCTTCGTCTTCTGCTAAATTTGACCTACATTGCACTTTTAGCCTCTGCCTTTAATTAAACAATTTAAATAAGATTTTAATTTATAATTTTATTTGCTGTTTTTAATTGTCTTTTAATTCCTGCATTTTATTTCACTTTATTGTATGAAATGTTATGATGTGAAGCACTTTGAGTCTGCCTTGTGTATGAAAAGCGCTATACAAATAAAATTGCCTTGCCTTGCCTGTGTCAGATGTTTACGGCGGTTTTCCATGTTTTTTTCCTTGCACTCTTTGTGTCTAGACACAAGAGACTTTCCTTCTTTAACGCATTCTCCCCTCACTGTCTCTCACTAGGTGTCTGTTTGGTGCTGGGTTGCATGATCTATCCTGACGGTTGGGACAGTGACGAGATTCGGCGGATGTGCGGAGAGCAGACAGACAAGTACAGCCTGGGAGCCTGCTCAGTGCGTTGGGCCTACATCTTGGCTATTATGGGCATCCTGGACGCTCTCATCCTGTCCTTCCTGGCTTTTGTCCTGGGAAACCGGCAGGACGGACTCATGACCGAAGAGCTTCTGGCTGATAGCAGGGGTGAGAATGTCCCTGACATCTGAATAAATGTGGTGTTTTATTGATCTCCTTTGAAGAATTCAGTCATCTCTTGTGTAATGTGGCGGGATTCTGACCTGAGTCATGAGCAACACTTGAGGAAAAATGATTCATTCACTCAAAAACTGCACTGTTATGGCAATTTCTGCAGTAGTTGGCTGGTAATATCATACTTTAATTAAATAAGACTCAGAAAATAATTTACAACAACAAAATGAATGCTTTCCACCAGGCTTGAAGTAGAAAGTAGTTTTTCTCATAGATCAGGGATGTAATGATTTAGTCATGGTAATGGCCCTTGCCTATATGCTTTACAGTCAATATTGTGAAATATTGTCTAGAGGCCAGGGTCACGAAACAGTATGTCTCTGCAGTTTATAAAGTAACTGGACCGGCATGGCCAGCCAACAAATAAAAAAATAATGGAGAAAGAGTCAAAATGAAGGAGAGAAAAGGTGATATTCTAAAGTGGTAGAAGACACTTTGTGACTTTCTTATTATGATAGAAGTAAACATGTAACATTCTCAGGGTGTTGTGTTTGATCATCTGTAGGTGATGTCATTCACAGGGTCTCATAAGCTCTCAGATGAGATAAAGTGGAATTTATTTTCTCATCTCAAACTACCATTAAATAGCAAAGATGAGAGAGGGAGACAGATCTAAACTCATGCACATTGTTCTTAATGTCTAATAGCCATTTCTTGGAAGAACTGGACATTCTCCTCCTCAGGGACTTCCCTGAAAATTGCCCTCCGCTCATGCTTCTGGGTGACTTCAACATCCAGACAGAGAAGTCATCTGACCTCTTACACCTACTTTCTTCTTTTGCTCTGTCACTTAGTCCCTCTCCTCCTACTCACAAAGCCGGCAATCACCTTGACTACATCTTTACTAGAAACTGCTCTACCACTAACATCTCTGTAACTCCACTTCATGTGTCTGACCACTTCTTCATCTCTTACTCTCTCCCACTCTCCATAACTAACGACTCCATCAACTGACTCTGCACCTGTTTGTCGCAACATTCGCTCCCTCTCTCCCTCCTCTCTGGCATCCTCTGTTCTACCAGCTCTCCCGTCTACTGACTCCTTCTCACTCTTGCATCCGAACGCTGCTGCAGAGACTCTCCTCTCAACTCTTTCCTCCTCTCTAGACTCTCTCTATCCTCTTACGACACAACGGACTGGCAAATCCCCTCCGGCTCTGTGGCTGTCTGAACCGGTGTGCGTCATGAGAGCCACCATGCGAGCATCGGAAAGGAGATGGCGTAAATATAAACAATCGGATGACTTGCTTGTCCTTCAATCTCTTCTCTTCTCTCTCCTAACCAAATTCTTACCCTAGTAACCTCTGCCCGTCCAACCACCTGCCTTCTTGACCCCATTCCATCACATCTTCTACAATCTATCGCACCTGACCTTCTTCCGTTCCTCACCTGTCTCATCAACAATGCTCTGTTATCTGGCTGTTTTCCCAATTATCTGAAGGAGGCAAGAGTCAACCCTCTCCTGGAGAAACCCACCCTCAACCCTTCTGAAGAACACAACTACAGACCGGTCTCTCTTCTTCCTTTTTGTCCAAAACCTTTGAACGTGCTATCTTCAACCAACTCTCCTCCTATCTCCACCATAACAACCTCCTTGACCCCCACCAGTCAGGTTTCAAGGCAGGCCACTCCACAGAGACTGCTCTCCTTGCTGTCTCAGAGCAACTCCACACTGCTAGAGCCGCCTCTCTCTCCTCTGTCCTCATCCTTCTGGACCTCTCTGCTGCATTTGACACAGTCAACCACCAGATCCTTATTTCCTCCCTCCAGGACCTTGGTGTCTCAGGCTACATCCAGGACATGGTTAAACCCTACATCCCAACCCGCGCACTCTGCCCTGCATCTGCAAAAATGCTCGTCCCTCCCTCACTGAGAGTAAAACACTCAAAAAGATCACGACTGTTTGCTGTCCTGGCTCCAAATAATCCTAATTTTTTGCCTCCCATTGCTCCCATTTGCCAGATTAAAGTGCTTCAAGTAAATGGTATGGAGAATGGTACAATACTTTTCTTTTTAAAGTTTCACAAAATGGAGACACACATGTACCTAAATTCATTCTGCAGACAAATAGCCTTTGTGACATATATTTCATTATTAGATTGTGATAAGTACAAGTACAAGTTTGAAGGAGCATGATGTTAAGTTCAATGACTTTAAAAATGTACAAAAGTGCGTAACTTCCAAACTTTCTCTCTCTCTCTTTCTCTCTCTCTCTCTCTCTCTCTCTTTAAGGTTCCTAAATGTCTGTTTTCATGAAGTACCAGTCAATCCTCAAGATCAGTTTGGAGGAGGGAGGCCATCCAGGTCTGTGGAGGAGAGGAATACTTTGGAAACAGCCAGCCTGCCTTTCACAATTTCCTGCCAGAAACCCCAGTGTAGCTTTCCATGAAATCTCATACATTTTGCTTGCAGTCCCTAAATTATTCCCAGCATTTAGATGGTGTTCAATGCACTTTTACCCCAATCTGTTTGCAGGCGTAACCCTTCGGTAACATTGAATACACCATTGCACGGGCAGAGACTGTTCTGTTGGGAAATGTATGGACTACCTACTACCTTCCTATGAAGGCACAGGGTTTATATGGTACACCTGCACGATATGAGCACAGACACAACCACATACACACGGCGACAACTCATTCATATGCACAAACACGACCTAACACGCGCACAGTACATTCAAACAAAACATCCGCAGACTCTGTAATTAAGTATTAAACTATGTTAACACTTAGCCGTGTGTACCACCGTCAGAATGTGTGTCATGTTTTTTTGGTGAAAAGAAGAAACTGCTCACTTTTAGATAATATTGGTTGTGTTGTGTTCCATATGTGGAGTTTGACATTAAATTAAAGTCTTTTCTTGCTCAAACACCCCTTTGTTCCTCTTCAACTAGAAAAAATATATATTTAAGATATTTTATAAGGATATTGTCATCCAAAAAAGAAAAAAAATATTGTATTTAAAAGTATGTACAGTGAATATTGAAGATGTTCTAGGAATTTCCATGCAATGCCCTGCTAGCTATGTTTGCACGACACTTCCGTTTGAGAAGGAAATATAATATTTTTAGTCTGTGGTATCTACTCTATAACGGAGGCTGTTAGGACTGTGTGCTGCAGTGTCAGGGTACCTCTGCGTGTGCATGAGTGTGTGTATGTGAGAGAGATGAAGTAAGGAGGTCTGTGGGCATGTCTGATTGAGTGTAAGTGCATGCACATCCGTAAGTGTTGGTGTGCAACAGTGGGCCTAAAGAACCAATACGCCAGGCTGACACACAATGGTCTTGCTGGTTGGCTGTCTGCCTCTCTCTTTTTGTCTAGTTCTCTCTTTCTGTTTTTCTCTCTTTGACTCCCTTTCTAGCTTTGTTTTGTCGGGACTTAGGGTAACATGATGGAGTATTATGTATAATGACTCGTGTGGCTGAGGAGTGAATTCCTCTGGTGTCGGGATAGTAAAGCCTGCCCCAGCATCACCCGTGGATATGTTCCTGTGTAAGTAGATAGTCTATAGATACCAAAAAATTGTCAAATATTGAGGAGGTTAACTTTGACTAATGAATGAGATTCCTTCAAAAATATAGCATTTAATAAAAGTTTTCACTGTAAAACATTGTTGTGTATGCTTGTTAGTTTTGACAATAGTTAGCTTTTAGTTAAAGTAGTATTACGGGAAATTTACTGATTGTTCACATGAGGATTAAAGACCGATTATAGTATCACTACTCAGCTTATTAAAAGGCTTCTATAATGCATTATCTACTATCTACTTCTATCGAGTAATAGGGAATTTGTGGTTTTTTTGGAGATTGACACATAGCAAAACAAGATATCTCAGTGTCTACTGCAGCCAGTTTGATCATCCTTAAAAATCTGAAAGCCACCATTGGGCATGAAAATTTTAATTGTTTTAACTCGACCATACTTCATCTAATCTTCTCCATATTTCTCATATAGCATGAACTTCTCACCCTGTAGATATCCATGTGATCATTTTTAACCTTAGTCATAGCGCCACCTGGTAACAACAGGAAGATTAATGTTTTTTTATTTTACACCCTTCTCCTCACACGTTATGCTCCTCAAAGGTTAATCTGATCCCTCTCAAAATCGGCAAAGTTGATCCTTCGCCAAGAACAACTAAACCGTTGTAACTCTACTGGACATCATCGGATTCTTTCCAATTTACACATGTTTGATGAGACTCTGGCCCTGAAGAGATGTAACGTTGAATCAAGTCATAGCGCCACCAACTGGTAACCAGAAGTCACATTTTCTAGTATCCAGTAAAAAACGAAGGTGGCATTTCGAGAGGCTTTCATTTCTAAAATGGTACTTCAGAATATCCTGGTTATCACCGAGTGACACCTTTGGGATGTGTACTCTCTGCCTGAAGTGGAAATACTGTGTAACTATTAGTTGTTTCCACTTAAATCTAATCTGAAATATACCAGATGTAGTCTTGTGATTGCTATTTTGGCTCATGTATGGCATTTTGAGAGGCTTTAATTTTGGAATAGTACGCTCTCGCTGAGATTGATAGTGCATATCTCATTAGGGATGTGCACTATCAATTATCTATGGAATTATCATGTAACTATTGGTCGTTTCCTTTTAAATACAATATTATAAGAATCCGATAATCGGTGGCAAGAGGGTGCATCGGCAAAGTTAATCCTTTGCCAAGAACAACTAAACTGTTGTAACTCTACTCCACATCATTAGATTCTTTCCAATTTTCACATGTCTGATTAAACTCTGGGCCTGAAGAGATGTAAAGTTGAATCAAGTTATAATGCAACCTGCTGGTAACATGAAGTCAATGTTTCTAGTATACAATTTAAAACAAAGATGTAATTTCGAGAGGCTTACATTTCTAAAATCAGAATGTCCTGGTTATCACCGAGTGAGACCTTTGGGATGTGTACTCTCTGCCTGAAGTGGAAATACTGTATAGCTATCCAATTTTTTCCTTTTAAATCGAATCTGAATTTGACCAGATGTAGTTTTGTAATTGATATTTTGAAATCAACAAAAAGAGTCTCGTGATGGAGAATTTGAACAATATTGGCTGATGTATGGTCTTTTCCATACCAGCAGTGTCATGTGTCATATCATCTTTCTTCCTTCCATCTTTCTCTGCATCTACATCTTTGGGTTACTGGGGTCGTCGTGGCGCAGGGGGTAGAGCGGGTGCGCTGGGAACCGCAAGGTTGTTTGGTTCAAGTCCCGGCTGCCCCATGTCTTAAGTCGAAGTGTCCCTGAGCAAGACACCTAACCCCTAATTGCTCCCTGGGCAAAATGTGAAAAGCCATGGGTTTAAATGTAAGTCGTAAGACGCTTTTTTTTTTGGATATAAGCCTCTGCTAAATAACCTGTAATGTAATGTAATGTACTGGAAATCCGATGCTGTCAGATCCTGGGACGCGGAAGGAGAAAAGGAAATGCTGGAGACTAGGGTGCAACTTGCTTCAGTCCTCGTTGTGGTTGAGCTTGCAGACACCAACTCCGTTGCCTGCATGCTGCCCCCTCCAGCATGTCAGTGCTGAGGTGAGGCAACCTCTCTTAACACCTGAAGCCTCCCGTGTCCCTGCTGTCTGTCCTTGAATACTAAAATGTCCTTTATGCTTTACCAGTTCCTGTCTCTGTCCTGGAAAGCAGCCCTCACTGTGGAGCAGCGGCCACACCAGACAAAGCGTGTCTGGCTGACCGCTGCCTCCCCGACATGCAAGGGGATCGCTGCTTGGAGCTTTAATTGGGGTCTGAGCCGACTGCAAGTCGGGCGAAAGCCTTATTGCTTTCCAAAGAGTTATTATTATTTCTTGCACTAAATCACACTTTTGAGGCCTTAATCTTGAAATTTTACATAAGCATCAGAAGTGCGAATCATTTCCATATTTTGGGGGTCGAAAAAATGGCTATCTAGCGCCCCCTGAGGACGTTTCCTCTGCGAGATTTTTTTCAAGTTTCACCGATTGACTTGAAATTTTGCTCACAGGTGCCCTTGGATATGCTCTACAAAAAAGTAAATCATGGTATGCAAATGCGACTAACTAGATTTTCCGCCATTTTGAATTTTGTGTAAAACACGTTATTGTGAACTCCTCCGAGTCGCTGGCTCCGATTTTCACGAAAATTTCAGCAAATCATTATTGGGTCACCAGATGTTATTGTTGGAATGCATTAAGCATTATACGACATGCATACTCACCTGGTGGAGCTTCCGGGTTGGGCCTAAGCTTCTGGCCGGCACTAGGTCCAGGGCACTGTCTCCCGTTGGTCAGTTCATACGGGTTGAAGCCTGTACCTTGATTTACTGAGCTTCTAATGGCCATCAACGTGAATGGGAGGGCTTGAACCCAGGTTAAATTTGTCTGTGCACAGATTTTAGCCAATTTTTGGTTCAAGTTTTGGTTCATGCGTTCTACTTTGCCTTGAGATTGTGGATGATATACTGTACCAAACGCGTGTTTCAGCCCCACATGAGCCATCCCATGTGCCTCCTGTAAACACTTGTTTCTGATGCCCGGCGGCATTACTAGGCGACCATCAGGGGACCTCCAGAGGCCTCCAACCTCTGTATCCCCTCTTTGCTTCCACACCGTTTTTTCCTGAGGAGACGCCCCCTTTTGGGCTTCCTTAATTTGTTCCTCATTAAGTTGTGGCCCCGACTGTCCCTCATCTTCTGCACTTACCATTTGGAGCCCCATTTGGTAACCAGCAGCCTGTTTTGCAGCTTGGTCCGCTGCCTGGTTTCCCTTGGCCACCATACTGTTGGAGTTCTCGTGTCCTTTGCACTTAATAATAGCCACGGTGCTCGGTAGAGCCAAGGCTCCCGCCAAATCTTTCATTTCTTGTTCCTGTTTAATCGGTTTTCCTCCAGCCGTCAGAAAACCTGCTCTTAACCACTGTCCCAGCTCCACATGAGCTGCTCCTACTGCATACGCCGAGTCAGTATAGATGTTCACTGCCTTCCCTTCTGCCAGCTGTAATGCTCTTATCAATGCGAGTACCTCAGCTCCTTGAGCTGACTGACTTCCCTGAATCCTTTCTGCTTCCAGAACCTCTGTCCATGCCCCATAGCTTCTGACTACCGCGTATCCCGACTGCAACCCCTTCTGTGGATGTCTAAAGCAGCTGCCATCAGTGAACAATTGCCAATCAGAGTGTGCTGTTTTCATTACAAGCTTTGCGACCCCTTCTGCGTGTTGTGTGCATTAATGATTTGGTTTTCCATGTTATCCAACATGACACTGTTTTACAGAAGCACCTTCCTTTTACCACCCCCCTTTTTCTGAAACAAAACCCCATTTACAACCCCTGTTGTTTCAGAAACATCCAGGTAAAACGACGCGCTGTAATCCGGTACTGCAAGGTCCGCGGCCTGTGCCAGTTCTGTTTTTAGCTTGATAAATGCCTCTCCCGCCCCTTGGTCCCATACAACGTCTCCTCCCATGGTGGGAGTGGATACAAATCAGGGGCGTTACCTCCAGCTGGGGCAGCCTGTGCAACCATCTGTCTCTCGTTTTTCCCTTTCTGCTTCTTGTCACTCACTTCCTGTCTTACTTTGGTGAGCTGGAGCTTCAGCAGTTGAGCCTGCAGCTCCTTTAACTGTTTATCTTCTCCTGTCGCTTCTTCTGTCGCGTCTTGTAAATGGTGTAGCAAATGTCTCTCCCACACAGCAAAGTCACTACCTGGCAGGTCTGGGTTAGTCATCATTTTAGCTTTCACACTCTCTGGTACGCCCTCCAGTATCGCCTGTCTAAACCATTTCCCTTTGCACTCCCGCAGTGCCTGGGTGATGACCTGTGTGTTTCACCCATGTTTCCTTACATTCGTCCAAATAAGCGCGCAGTGTTATTCCCCAAACCAAATGTATTTCTGTGCTCAATTTGTTTTCATGTTTATATCTATTTGTTCTAATAATTTTCATCATATTTTAAATCCTGGATTCAAGCGTTACACTTAAAAAGAAAGTAGTTCAGCGAAACTAAAAGTTGCAATGTCTTATCAACCTGTTAGTTGATTTCATAAAATCCCCTCTACAACCCGCTTGTTCATGTAAAGGTTTTTGGCAGACCTTTGACAGCCCAGTAATGATGAGCTTATTCTTCTAAACTGAAAAGCAAAAGGACCATTTATCCTCTTTATTCTTTATATATCATGGTATTCAAGAAATATGCATAAACCTAATTATATCACTAAATGATGGCACTCAGGATTAACTTTATTCAACAGTATGTGTGTGCGCGCGCTTCTTAAAGTGAGGAGGTATAAAACCTTCGTCCAGCCTTATTGGCCTCCACCGTTGCTCCCACACATCTTCTCACTGCTGTGACCTTTTTACTCCCATAAAACCCTGGCTGCTTCAACAGAGATTTATTACGCTTATTCTAGCCGTTGTTGCTTTAAAGACTTTAAATCTTCTTTTTCTTTCTTCAATGCATGTCTACAATTATACTATTTTTAAATCAAAAGTGTCGTAATAGCTTGGAGAGCTTAAAAAAAATGGCTCTGCAGCAACAGGCTTGTTGGTTAAGAATCAGTCTCTCCTTTCTTTTTTTTTTCTCTACCCTCGTATGGAGGTGGTTTTTCTGAAACGACACCGTTC